TTCCTGTGTTCATGTTCGCTTTTATTTTTCACTGCCGCTCATTTTCACCTTGCCGACCGCTAGCATTTCTCATTTTCTCACCGCCGCTTTCAATTTTCATGTTTTTCTTCCTACGAAATTCGTCTCCTTTTCTTTTTCAATAACTCGCTGTAGCTCTTTCTCTGTTATCCACGTTAGTGTAAACATGAAAAAGACACGACCTTGTTGTTGTTTTTTTCTTTCTAAAAGTCCGTGCGGCCATGTGATTTCCTTCCAAATAAAACCTTGAGTTGCATTTGGGTTGCCATACCTGTTGATTGAGTTATTCTACATTGGTATGCCTGTGGTGCGGACGGACGGAAGGTCAAGCGGACGGGCGGGCGGTCGGTCGGTCGGTGTACGGTCACGTGATTACCAAATTTTCTCGGATGGGTAGATTGCCGCATTTCCTTAGCTATGGGGCTCTGCTCGCCGCGCGTGGAGCTCCGCTATAAAGAAAACCAGTTGAGACACTTCTGACGTATTTAGAATCCTTTTGCCTTTATTTCCCCTGTTGAATGGTTCAAGCCTGCAAACTACTAAACGCGCTAGATGTTTGGTTCGTTTGTTTCATTAGTGTTAATTTTTTTTTGTTTTTTTTTTCCCGCTGCTCTACAGTAGCCCTTCCCCTGAAAAAAACATCGAGGACCACGCTTTTGTTTAAGGGGAGTGCTCTGGGCTGCTCCTGCACACAGGCTGTCTGTTTAGTAATGATCGGAAACAGCGCTTGCTATCTTGTCATCTGCCGTTCGAGCTGCGAGAAAATCTCCTGATGGGTGTAGTGTGTTTTAATATTAATTAATTAAAGACGACTTCTTTCGGCAAAACCCTCAATTAATCCAAAAGTAATACACAGACCTTATCACGGTTTTAAAGCCATCTTTTCGCTTCTCAAGCGCCCGTTTCGTGTACGGCGCTACATAGCTACATTTCAAGAATTTCTTGCTCATAGGTACTGAGCAACTGATTTTGAAGCTGTAATTTAAAAATTTATTTGCTATTTTTTTCTCTTTTTAGCTCTGGCCTTGAAATGCTACCAGTGCATGCCAGACCTGACGAATATTGCTCAGAAAAGTAACAGCGTGAGCGTTTGTGCTAATCCCAGTAAAACTATCGATTGCAGTCAAGATCCATTAATTGGAAAAATAGCTGATTCCTGTTACACAGCCCGTTTAACAGCCAGTATCAATCCCGCATCATTAAACGCGTCACTTCCCAAAAGCGACATCGAAGTCTATGTCCTCAGCTGTTCCGTAATGTCAATGTGTAGCACGCTTAAGACACAAACTTGCCAATACGTGCAGACAGCCTTACAAGGTATTCCTATGTTGCAACTAAAAAGTTGTGACGTCACATGCTGCGAGGGAGACCTCTGCAATGATCCATCCCCATCATCAACTGTGCCGAGCAGTGTTCCACCAGCAACAGCTCTGTTTGGAATTCTGGTTTTGATGGCTTTCACTGTTGTGAACGTCCAGAGAAGTGGGCATTGTCTCATGGAATAGAGAGAGAGACAGCACTTTCTTTAGTTTTTTTTTTAATTATTTTTGTGGGGTAGACGTAAACAAAAAACTGATTCTGTAAAGTTACCAAATATTGCCTCTTTAACTCCAGATTGCCAATTGATAGGAGGCGAAACCTTTGCACCAAAAGCCTTGAGATGACTTTATCGTGTTTCTGAACAAACGTACCCACCGGTCTTTTCCCTGCCAGCGGAGGTCGGTCACGGCGACAGAAAAATTATAGGAAAGAGAAAGAGCTCTGCAGGTGCCCACTACGTTTTCCATTGCGCATGGCTTCTCGTTAACAACCACTAACGTTTTAGTCACGTGCGACAAAACTTACAGAACCGCTTTGCTCGATAACAACCACAAATATGGTCGGCGGCTACATGAAAGAACGTATCCGGGGCCGGCAAGGGTCTCTCTATTTCCTCTCCTTATTCTGTTGCCGTGAGGGACCTCTAGCTGCTAGTAGGGAACTCAGTCTTCATACCAAAAACACGTCGACTTGTTGTAACAGTCCTCATCTTTATATCGACAGTCGGTGAAATCGTACTAAAAGATTCGAACAACTTTTTGCAATTTAAAGAATCGTGCAAATTACTAGACACAGCTTATGCCAAACAGTTTTTGTCCATTAGTCAAACCGCGTTTTATCTCCTGCCACTGTGTCTTACCCCTTTACTTCGATGTCATGTCAATTCTCTTTTCTAAAGCAACAGAACAGTCGAGCGTATTTTCACCATCTGGGTCGCTGTATTCTCAGAGAATCAGTTCCCATGATTTAGAACAAGATGAGTTGTATAGTATTTGGGTTTTAAAGGATTTATAGTTTTAGAGTTTTTGTTGTAGAAGTTTCCACTTAAAAAATAAATTTTGTTTGCATGAAATGGCACAAGTTTGCTGCTCTTTTCCGTTTTTCCCCGGGAGTTGGTACTGCCCTATAAGGGATCTTAAGCAACGAGGACGACGATGGCAAGGACTTGGAATTGTAAAAAAGCAATATTTTGAGATTACGAACGGACCATTAGAAAAATCATGGAGTGCAGGCGAAGTAAAAAATATATATTAGTGTAAGGGAGAATTAAATGAAAAAAATCATTTATGCCAAGTAACCCTAAAAAAATATTCATGCGCTGGTCTAGAAAAATCACACAAGGGAAGTGTTAAATGAAATGTCACCCTTGCTATTTAAGTTACACATAACACATCTTTACTGTCGAAAGGAAAAAGAAAAATTTGAAAAAATAAATTCCTAGCTGCGCAAAAACCCGGAAAAAAGTTTTGTGACGTCAAAAAATGTCACGTGAACAATTTTTTTGGTTTGCTTATTAGTGTTTTTGAGTCAAAAAA